GAGAAATTTTATGGTGAAAAACCAAATCTTGAAGACTTGAAAGTATTCGGTTGTGTTGCATATGAAAGAGTAGTCTCAAAACATTTGAAGAAGCTTGATGATAGGTCACGATCGTTGGTATATTTTGGAAAGGAACCCAATTCGGGAGGATTTCGGTTATATAATCTGCGGGAGAATAAAATTATTATTAGTGCCCATGTAATTTGTGATGAAAATAAGACATGGCAATGGAATAATGAACCCAAAAATCAAGATGGAAATGGACCGGGTACATTTACGGTCTTGTGGAGTAATGGTCAAGCAACCCAAGATAATGGTGGTTCGAGCCCAACTGCAACAGAAACCGAACATTTCATAGATTCGGCCCAAACCGAACAAACCAATGACACTAATAACGATGATAGCAGCCCATCGCAACCTGTTGATGATCAAAATAACGATGCAAGTTTTGTCCCACTTCGGCGGTCCACTCGAACTTCAGTTTTGCCAAGAAGATTAAATGACTACAAGCTAGATTTGGATCATTTAATGTTGTCATTCGATGAAGAACCAAAGAATTTTAAGGAAGCTAAAGTGAACAAAAATTGGCTCGATGCAATGAAGGCTGAAATTGACTCCATCGAGAAGAATAATACTTGGAAATTAGTTCCTCCGCCTAAAGATGTTAAACCTATTGGGTTAAGATGGTTGTATAAAATTAAAAGAAATATGAATGGATCAATTACAAGGTATAAAGCGCATCTAGTAGCAAAAGGTTATGTACAAGAGCAAGGCATTGACTTTGATGAAGTATTTGCACCAGTAGCTCGACTCGAGACAATAAGACTATTGATTGCTCTCACGGCTGGGAACGGATGGAAGATTTATCACTTAGATGTAAAAACTGCATTTTTATATGGAGATTTAAAAGAAGAAGTATATGTGTGCCAACCGGAAGGTTTCGTGAAACAAGGTGAAGAAACAAAAGTCTACAAATTGGCTAAAGCTTTATACGACCTCCGACAATCTCCGAGAGCATGGAATTTGAAGCTTAATAACACATTGAAAAATATGGGTTTTAAACGGTGCATGTAAGAAAATGCGGTTTATAGAAAGGTTGCAAATGGAGAATACATGCAGTTTATGTAGATGATTTGTTCGTGACGGGAACAAGCTTAGAGTTTATAAACCAATTCAAGAGACTAATGGCGTTACAGTTTGAAATGTCGGACCTTGGTGAACTAACTTGCTACTTGGGTATTGAAGTATTGCAAGAAAATGGTTGTGTAAAGGTGAAGCAAGAGAGTTATGCTATGAAGATTCTAAAAGAGGCAGGCATGCAAGAGTGTAATGCAACTCAATGTCCGATGGAGCCAGGACTAAAGTTATCAAAAGATGAAGATGAACCAGAAGTTGAAGCTACCTATTATCGAAAAATAGTAGGTTGCTTACGATATCTCTTACACACTCGTCCAGATTTAGCATATTCGGTCGGAGTAGTTAGCCGTTATATGCAAAGTCCAAGAGAATCTCATGCACGCACTATTAAGCAAATTCTTCGTTACTTGCGTGGTACTCCATCTTTTGGGATAATATATAAACGAAGTAAAAATATGAGCTTGATAGGTTACAGTGATAGTAGTCACAATGTGGATATTGATGATGGCAGAAGTACAACAGGGCATGTCTTCTACGGTGACTCACCTATCACTTGGTGCTCCCAGAAGCAAGATACAATAGCTTTGTCCTCGTGTGAAGCGAAGTTCATGGCAGCTAATGCAACTGCGTGTCAGGCAGTTTGGTTAAGGGAGTTGTTAGCTGAGCTGACAGGAATGAAGAAACAGAAGGTGTTGATTCGCACAGACAACAAATCAACAATAGCATTATCAAAGAATCTTGTCTTTCATGGAAGAAGTAAACACATTCACACTCGATTCCATTTCATTCGAGAGCGTGTGGAAAACAAGCAAGTGGTTGTTGAGCATGTTTCGAGAGATAAGGAACGAGCAGATCCACTTACAAAGGCCTTAGCTCGAATAAGGTTCGCAAAAATGAGAGCGTTGCTTGGCGTGCAAGATTTACCCTCAACTCAGAAATTCAGGGGGTGATTGTTGAGAACTTCTGAGAACCGGTTATGGCTTTAGGCGTGTACTAGGTTCCATACCTTGGAGTGGTGTCCAAGTAACGTGAAGTAGTGTCCAAGACTTCCTATGTTTCCTTGTGTTATGAGGAGACAGTGATTAGGAAAGTTTTTGTGTTTATTATCCTAGTCTTATACTAATGTGACATGTTTAGTTTAAATATATATAGGATCCTGTAAACACGTTATCAGAAATTGGAGTTTTGACATAGTTTTTCTTCAATAATAAAGTTTGCGAGTTTATGCAATTCACTTATGTGTTTCCTCTTTAGTGTAACTTATTGTCGACAAGAATATTCTTGATAAGCTAAGGATTACAAGAGGGTAATGTAATTTGAGTAGAACACAATGCATAGGATATTGGTACATGGCGTGTATAGTCAAAGTCAAAGATGGTAAACAAAAGTCAACAGGAACACGACAGGTATATATCCCAGTCATGACACATTGATATGTTTGGTCAAGTAGATGCATGTAACAGAGGAGCGAGACACATGGAGGTAACCGGCGACGTGTGGCAAAACAAAGCAACACGTGGAAAAAATCGAGAATAAATGTGGATATGACGTTTCCATGATGGTGGCACGACGCATCGTTGTGGCCAGTCAGTCAATAGGACACACGTTGTAGAAGTAGTGCACGTGGCAAGCTCTGAGAAAGACACGATGTGGCAAGGGGAAGAACGCAATGTGTTTTTATGTCAAGATCAAAAATATATAAGTTGAAATGGTTGTGTCCGTTGAACCTTTTTCCAACAAAAAGGAAAATAAGTATGAGGAGAATTCAGATCTATGAGAGAGTGAAATACTAATGTTACCACGAGAATAAGAACTACTAAGCGAGTTAAAGATATCTTTTCATTTCGTGTTATGTAATTTTGTCATGTAGTATATTACGTACGGTTGTTAGACCTCGAGTGTGTTACGAAAGTTCATGATATGGTGATATTACGAACTCGATTGTAACTTTAGTCGATGAATTTCACAGTAAAATTCTTAGCATGGAGGGTGAGGGTTATAAACCCTAGTTTATAGATATTACCAGACGTAGACATGTGAGGTTGAGCTAACAGCTTACGGGGTTAAGTCGTTAGGTGGTTGTATTTGGGAGCTTGACTAGTTTGGTAACAAATGGTTACTGAGATTAGTTAGTGGTCGGGTGAATGACCACTATGGTGGATATATTGAATAAGCTCCTACTTATTTGGGACAAGTTTTAAGGAACTTGGTGTTGTATGTAAATAGGTTTCGACAAGGTGACAAGTGGAGAGGCAACGTGAAGCTTAAGATCAGAGCAATAATTAGTTTTCACAAACTGACCACGTGAGTACATATGAATTTTCTAGGTACATAGCAAGGTGAAATATTTTATGTGTGGTGATATTTAAAGGTGGATTATTTTATATGGTGGTAGTTTGTTATTAAGCAAGTCATTTTGGTGAAAATATTTTGAGAACGTGAGTCCCTAAGTTCCTAAGTTTTCTGATTTATTAAAAAGGGAACTTTAGTGGCTAGAATGCTTTGACTAATTACTATTGATTATTACTTATTTTCAGTAAGGCCAGTTGATTTATTGGTGAGTTGATTTTTTAGTGAGTCTTATGGGGTGTTGTAAGACTTCATTTTTTTAGGTGTTGATATTTATTTGTCATAGGAGATTTTATTTGTCATGGGAGATTTCTGAGTATAGTGTTATTTGATTGGATTGATTTTACTTGTGATGAGTCTGAGTGCTTTTGCATGAATGTATTCATAGTTTTTGGAGATTTAAGTCTAAATGAAAATGTTGGCACTACTAGCGAAAAGTAGTGACTAGGGGTATAAATTCTCCGACAGAGCAACGAAGTGATTTGTTCTCTCGAAGTTAGACAGGTGGTGATAGTTATTGACATCGCATAATATTTTTATGTGATATTTGGATTTTTGGGACTCGAGATGTAGAGTTCCTGGTAGGTTGATTTCCTGTGGATTTGAAGTTTATGACCTGCTTAGATTTTTATAAAGTTGTTATATATTTCAAATTTATTTTGATATCATGTTTGGAATATTTTGCTAAATAGTTCACGAGTCTTTGGACTTACATAGTTTGTACTATGTACTTAGGTACTCGAGTTCGAGTTGAAGCCCAGGGTACCTTGTGAGAGATGAAGTGTGTTGGATTTAGAGAAGATGGTATAATCCTTTCTCTTAAATGTGGTTGTTGATATTGATTTTGTAATACCAAACAGTTTTAACTATGATAATTTTAAAGGTTTTTGTTAAACCGCATTTTATTACGGTTGATTTTCACAGTAGTTGTGCAACCACGGTAAATTTTATGTTTTGAAAATATAAGTGTTACAAATAACTATTTTATAAAATATGTATTAATAGGTAAATAATAATCGAATATACCCAATTATCATTCTAATTGGATAACAGTTGTACTGGATTAGATCGGTTTGGAATTGGATCTGGGTGGTTATCCAATGGTCAATCGAATTTGGATGTTAAAAATTTGGAACCGTCCATTTCAATTCAATTGGCTATATAATGAAAAATGAATCGGTTTAATTTGAATTGGTTGGGTTGAACTTAATCATTTTTTTCCTAGACACTCCTAATAATCACCAAAATGATCACTTTCCATCCATATATATAAATAAAACCATTTTATTTTTATTTTTTGGAAAAGCCTTAATAACCATGGAGTTCGAAAATTGCACATTTACGAATTCCAACTCAATAATGATGATCCCGCCTATTTAAAGGTGTACGTTTTTCACAAACTAATAATAATTTTGAAATTTTTCTTTGCAACTCATTTTCGTAAATCTCTGTAAACGACGTTCCATACGAAGACCATCTTTGAAAATTAGAACAAAATATGGAAAATACCTTAATCCGAATTGAAACAAGCCATTTTCAACTGTATCCAACCTTCATAATATTTCAAAATATGTTGATGCAAACTTCACATTAGTTACACCTCACCAAAAGTTCTCATCCTCACATCAACATTCACCTCCCAAAATACTAAACAACCCAAACTTCAATCAAGCAACTACAAACTAGGGCTAAAAACGTAATTTCATAGCTCACACAACGATTTTTAAACTTTCAAGGTTGAGTGTTTGGAAGTCTGACAAGAACAGAATGTTCTGGTTTATGATCACATTCATAATCAAGATGAACAAATGCTCTTTCCACTTCTGGTAATTCTTCTATCTTGATTTGAAGCGATTCCCCAATCCCATGTGCTTCTTTCAATGGCAAATCTTCAGGCAATTCTATATCAACCTAAACATAACAACATACTCTGAATATTTATTAAATTAAATAAATAAATAACATATTATATTACATACCTCAACAAAATAAAGAACACCAAATGTGTATGCACGAACAGTGTCCACACGGCTTATTTTAGGATGATGCCTCAGGACTAAATATGTCAGTGTTTGTAGAAAATCTGGAGGTGCTGTTTGTCCAACTAGTGAAACTACAAAACATAAAAGTAAAATTTTAGTACATGAAATGGGGCCCACAATTGAAGGACATTTTTGACATTTTGTCAAATTAACCTGCATTTTCTATAACAGTTCCAGACCAATTGCTAATTGTGTAGACAGCAAGAAGTATGGCTCCAGCAGGATCAATCCACCAGTAAAACTCATCACCAAGAACAGCAGCAACCAAACCAACCAAATTTGTCACCACATCAAAATAATGATCCTGTGAATCACACATCACATATTTGATATTTCAAAGGTTAAATTACTAAATTGCCCTTTACAGAGATTCATATCCAAAACTCAAATTAATCACACACCTTAGCATAAGCTCTAACAATCTTGTTTCCAGAGCTTCTACAGTATATATAAAGAACCAATTTCACACCAGTAGCAGTTAACATAATTGCATACAACCAAATCAACTGCAAATCATTCATCTTTTCAGAAGGTGAGTTCCTAATTAATTGCTCAACTGCTTGGATCAACACTTGAAATCCTGCATATTCATCATGTAAGAGAAGATTTTACATATTTACTTATATACCCTCCATAGTCACATACCAAGAGTGGCCATGATTGCAGCAAATATGATGATTCCAACAGGTTGGACTCGTAATTTTCCAATTGGGTATTTGTAAATGTTGATGCTTTTCATTGATAGGTGAGTGAACCATAGAATAGCACCTGCCATTAGATCGAGTAAAGAATCTAGGGTTGATGCTGCAATTGCTAATGATCCGCTTTGTACTGTTGCGTAAATCTGGAATTCGTTTGAGAAAAAACATGAGAAAGATGATATATTGGATCAGTTAGAAATTAGAAGTTCTTGTTTACCTTAAGTGCAAGTAGAAAGATGTTTGCCCAATTGGAGATGTTGATTGCTCTTTCGTGTTGAGCTTCTTCTATCAAGTCTTCTTCTTCAGTGTTTATGTCATTGGTTGTTGCACGTAAACAGTCAACTTCTTCAAAAGATTTCAAAGCTGCAAATTGCTTTTCGTAGTATTCTTTCTCCCCTGAATAAATCAATGATGTAATAAATCTCAAGAACAAGAAGAAATTTGATGAAAAGAATAGATGAATTTGAAGTTTTTTTTTACCTTCTATTAAACCGATGGTTTTTGAAAGGTCGACCTGGAATGGAGCTTCAGGATCAAGGCCACGTCGGACTTTTTCAGGCAATTTTGAAAAGAAATCGCATCTTAGGCTAGTAACTGAATTACGTCTGTTCCTTCGTATGTGCTTTGAATCTTCGTCACTCGACAACAATGGTGTTTTTGCATCCATTTGATTTTACGTTTTGAAACTAAAAGATCTAAGCATTACCAAAAAACTTCCAATGATCTTTTATCCTGAAAGCAATGATCTAAGAAATGAATGTGACACTTTACGACAAATTAATTATTTCTCTCAGACAAATCGTCGAACACCTGGTGTCACACACCTACGCATCCCGTTAATAACTGATCTTTTGAACAAACTTACAAATGTACCACCATTCAAAAGCTTGTAATTTACATGTCTTGAACAAATGATGAACTTATATAGAAATACGCCTGTTGCATACGACCAAGCTTGCTCTACACCTCTCTCGTGAAACAAAATTGTAAAGAAGGGTACATGCGTATGCAAGTGGACGTCGTAGAGTCGGTAGAAATCATGTGCATATCGCATTTCTGATACTTTTGTTGTTTTGTGTTTTGTTGGTTTGCTGAATATGATCGGAATATTTGTTGGTTTCTTCGAATTGATTACAAATGTTCGGTATTGGGAGCACTGATTTGTTATTGTTGAACCTTCAGACTCTCTCTACGTACTTTCAGAATAATCACACATAACATCATGATTGAATATTTTGAATTCTTATATAAAAATACTAATAAAAATGTTTATTGAATAATCACACAAAACATCATGATTGAATATTTTGAATTCTTATATAAAAATACTAATAAAAATGTTTATTATTTGGGATAACGATTAAAAGGATAATATATTTTTTTATTTGTACACATTTAGTCACTAACTTTTTTATTCGTCCACATTTACCCATTCAACTTATTAAACTGTACACATTTAGTCCTTATGACCGGCTACTCCAGGTTAGCCGGTAAAAATGACTTAATAGGGTAATATATTTCTCACTTTGTATACATTTAGTCCTTAATATTTTTGTACACATTTAATCCTTAATATATTTTTTTTTGTTGCAAAATAAGTCATTTTTGTTTTTGTACTCATTCAGTACTTATAAATGATTTCTTTAGGTTTTTTTCTCACAACATCTTACTTGGGATAGTCATATCGTGGTAGGATAGGTTGAGGTGGTCCTGTTATATGTTGTAGGCCAAGATACCTGGTGCGGATCGGCTGTAAGCCATAGACACGGAGGCTCGACAAGAGCGGTTGGGTTAAGGCGGCATGCCGACAAACCCTGGGTATTCCAGTCCGATGACTGATTGGACCTGTTGCATGTTGGCATTCTAGTCCGATGACTGATTGGGCCAAGGTATTCCAATCTGATGAGTGTGGGCCCGTTATGCATGATAATATGTTTGTTGTATCAGGTATTTTGGGGGAAACTCACTAAACTTTGTGTTTACTCAATTGTTTATGTTTTCAGGTTCTATCGTTGATCGTGGAAAGGCGAAGGCATGACTGTACACACTCATCAACAATATTGAGGATTCCGCGTTTCTTATATTACTCTGATTTTTCGATATATGTATTTTGGAATAAACGTTTTTTCTTAATAATTGATTTATATTAGGGAGTTTTGCCTTATTTGAAAATGAAAATTTTTGGTTTTGAAAATGAGACGTTACACATAAACATCAACAGCCCCACACACTTCATAAATGATTGTCACACGTAAGAGATCGTGAGAAAAACCTAAAGAAATCATGCATAAGTACTGAATGAGTACAAAAACAAAAATGACTTATTTTGAAACAAAAAAATATTAAGGACTAAATGTGTACAAAAATATTAAGGACTAAATGTGTACAAAATGAGAAATATATTACCCTATTAAATCATTTTTACCGGCTAACCTGGAGTAACCGGTCATAAGGACTGAATGTGTACAGTTTAACAAGTTGAAGGGGTAAATGTGGATGAAAAAAAACTCAGTGACCAAATGTGTACAAATCGAAAAATATATTACCCTTTTAAGTCATTATCCCTTATTATTTAATTGAAAAGTTATTTATACAACCTATCTTTTTTTTCGAATTCTAACAAAATAACCATAACACCACTAAAAATATTCGCAAACTTGCAATAACACCTTTTCTAAAAGAGAAATTTAATATCCTTATATTTTTCTTCTTAATTATCTGTCTATCTATGTAAAATGATGAAAATTTTTATCTGCCTATCTATGTAAAATGATGAAAATTTCACAGTGATGTTATGTCTAATGTATGCAGGAGATTCAAGCGAACGAGACTAGTTGATTCGTGAGATCCTTTATGTCTATTTATAGATATGCATGGAAGCCATTTTAGATATACTCGTCTCGTGTCCTATCTTTGTTCTCTCAACAACAAACATATCACTATGAATAGCATTCATCCGAGTATATTTTGCATTATCATTCATTTAGTGTTCTTGAGAAAATAAACAAGTAGCAACTTAAAAATCCCAAAATGAACAAGTATAACATGTGTAGGGGTATGAAATGTTTAATAACCTAATACAGACACTCCCCCGATATGAAGATATCTTCTTGAGAAAGCAAACAAGTGGCTTTACAGATCTCAATAACCTAACATTTGCCTACATTGTGATCATCTACAACAATACCATCGCAAAACTCATCCGAAATGTCAATAAGTATTTAAGGAATCTTGAGTGTTCATGATAAGATGTTGAAGTCCCAACTATATTCGTGATTTTCATTTTTTTTTTAAGTATATAGTAGTTAGAGGTGTAGAGGCTTGTGTCTTCACCTTCCACTATTTTACGGACCAGGAGAGTACATCTTTATGGTTATATTATTATTGACTATACATTTGGTTGTTTTATATAATGTTATGAAATAATTTGTTCTTCTAGTAATCTATTATAAATTAAAGTAATCGTTTGTTTGAGAGTTAATGTAAGATACTTGTTTATTTCTATATAGCGAACAGAGTACACCTATCATGGAATAAGTACATTAAATTAATAAGATGGTTGTTAATTATTAAATATCTAACCAACAATGCACCTATTACTATAGAACAATATATTTGTTCTTAAAATATAATAAACTTATACATATTTTAAATGCCATCTCATCTTGAAAGAGACATGCTCTAATTAGAAAAATATATTTGTTCATGTGGCTTCTTTTTGCAATGAATTAAACATTGATGTTGCTTAATGGGCATTCTTTATAACATTATGATTTGTCCTTGTTTCCTTGGAGGGCTTCTCTTCCTTTTCTTTATGAGATAATTATAAGTTGAATGTTTGATATCTTCTATGTTAGCATTCTTCTTCAATACATGGAGTAATGATGAAAATAGTGGTGAAGCACCAACAATCGGGTATCACCTTCGGAATGGCATACACATACGTTGATGTATGAAAAAAGAACTGAATCAAGATTATAATGATTGACCAACAATTAAAAGACCCCAACTACTACATTAGAGTAATCAAACAAAACCTACACATATAATCTTAAAACCCTTAAATATATGAAGATAGATTACTTGCGAGCATTTAGCAAATATAAAATATGGTTGAACGTTGTGTTGGGAACAAGCATAACATTAATACTCAGGATAGTGGTTTTTCATGAACAACTATCAAGCCTTGTTAGGAGGAGACCTTGAGTCTATTATACATATTCACCCATTTTTTCATTCTCATATTTGTCTATGAAGGCTTCTGAGTCTTTAATATTCTCTGTGTCGGCGTCGCTGAAGTAAACATCTTTGGTTGGAGAGGTGATTTAAATAGCTTGGTTTTGAGGGAACATTTAGATCGAAGGGGGTTGATTTGAATTTTGTTCTTTGTCTGGTTTGTGAAGTGCATATTGAAATATGATATCATATTTTTCTTATTTACTTAGGTGTTGTTTGTTTTTTCTCCGCATATCTTCCTGACCTTTTCTGTCTGCGCGGCGCAGACCACACGCATACATTAGCATTCGCAGACTGTTTGTTTTTTTGAAGACCGCAGAATTAAAAATGTTTGCGCGCCCTCTTCTTGGCGCAGATGTGGACCAGAGTCTTCTAACATCTTCAGACATCTTCTAGCCTAAAAAAACACATATACTTTTTTTTTTGAATTTATATTTATTCCAAACTTTATTAGTGATAAACAATTTGAAAAAAAAAAGTTACAATACTTAAAAAAAAAAAGTTCGACGACACAAACATGATATTTTTGACAAATTTATAAATAAAAGTTTATTACAATAATGGTCATTGAAATTGTTTATATAAATATGAAAAAAAAATAATATATTTTTATATTCTTTGTGCCAAAATTTATAAAACATTATTTAATAAAGCATTGTCAATTTCTTAGAAAAAATATTTATGGCACGTTTTTAATTGATTTAATTGAAAAAATCAAAGATGATTTCCATTCATTTATATATCAAATTCTTTGATTCCTAATTATAATGTTTAGACATAACTTTGCGATCAAAATTATTGGTTTTTATCAAATATATACGTTAATTTGTATCATTTTTATTTTCACTTTTTATACAATAATACATAAAAGTTGATTTAGATGTGTTAATTATTTATAACAAAGTCATAAATATATTAAAAAATCACTTTGTAGTTAAAAAAATCAGTTTATTTAGATTTTAGTTTATTTTAGTAGCCTGTAGATGTTAAAAAAATAGTCTTCTTTTTTTAGACTGCAGACGTTTGGTCCACCTCTTCTGCTGCAGAGGTGTACAGATGTGGTCCGCAGACCGCAAACATTTTACCTCAGAAAAAACAAACAACACCTTAGTTTTTTAAGAGTTATGAAGTGAAGTGCGCTTTGGTGGGATAATTTGTTCAAGTTCCTAACTAATCAACAACTTTGTATTACGGGTGAGCATAGACGGGTACCGAATATATTTGACACGAAACCGGAACTGGCAGTTCCGAATATGTTGGAACCAAAACCGAAACCTGTTGTATCGGTTTTCAATATTTTGGAACCGGAACTGTCATTTATGGTTCCGATTCCGGGAATCCACTTTCAAAAGAAAACAAGTTAAAGAAAATTATAAAACAATTTAAACTTTCATAACTAGCAATGTTATAACTATGTTGTTTTCAATTTTTTTTCTTTAATAGCGATAAACATGAAGATAACTAATGAAGATAACTAATGGACTTTCATTCACAAGTCATATGTGCCTATGACCTATGTGGTAATATTTTGCTCACCCAAGAATTAAAATGCAACTAGAAGATACATGCAAATTGTAACAGGAGCCTTACGTTTGATTTGAATTCAAAAAATTACGACAGTAGCCTTGCATTTGATTTGAATTGAAAAAAAATATTCTTGCAAATTTTATATATATATATATATATATATATATATATATATATATATATATATACCGGTTCCGATTGGTACCCAACGGGTAGCGGTTCTAAAAAAGAGAACAGAACCAGAACCGCTTAAAGCGGTTCCAAAACTTTAAGAACCGGAACCAGAACCGCATAAGACGGTTCCGGTTCCGATTCAAAATACGGGTACTGTCTATGAACCGGGAACCGCATAATAGTTTGCATCACATGGTCAGGTCTTCTCCGTTGAAGAATTGAAATGAGAAATGGTTAGATGTTGTTGCTCTCGCTAGACTTTGTGATGTTTATGATATAAATTGATATTTTTTCCCTGTATGGAACATATGATAGAATAATATCAAAATTTTAATAGAGTAAATTACACGAATCGTACAAGTGTCAAAATGCACGTTTAGTCCCTATTTTTAAAAATTAACTCGGACCGTCCCTTATATCATAAACAGGTGCACGCTTCGTCCCTCGTTAGTTTAAATTTGCATACTTCATCCCTTTTGAGACATGGAATGACTAAAATACCCTTTATAGTTTATTTTTCATTTATTTTAATATTTTTGATTAATTTGTTAAACCTAATATTTATATCTCTCTCTTTATATTTTGTTGAAGAAGAATTAACCACCACCACCACCGGAATGCACAGCCACCACCACCACCACCGGAATGAGCAACCATCACCGGAAATCTGCACAACCACCACCTGTTTTCCCTGAAAAATAACCACAAGCCACCTCCTTCACCATCGCCACCCTCCTGTATAACAACTGGCAACCACCCCCTTCAAACACCACCTGTCACCGCTCCATCATTAATACCGTCGGAGGATCCAGCAAGATGCTGGAGTGCAGATCTGAACAGGAAAATAGAAGCTTGGGGATGAGTGCAGATTCGCTACCATCTCGCCGGAAAAATGAGAGGCGACTAGGGTTTGGTGCATCGATGGACCACCCATATTTTCCGGTACAACCACCTCAAACATTCCCTTCTTCCTTCTCTTCCAGTGGTGAAACCTTATTCCATCTTCTCAGTTCGATCTATAACCACAAATTGAGAACAGATCGAGAACAAGAAACCCATATCTGCTATCCTCTTGCCGGATAAACAACAGGCGGCTAGGGTTTGGTTTCCGGCATGTCTTGTTCTTTCAGGCAATGATCTATGTAGCTTGCTACCCTCTCACCGGAAAAACGTGATCGTTTGCTTTGTGCGATTCCTGTTCCTCATCTATTTTCGCTCATCTTCAAAGTATCTCAACATTCGAAGAAATATAGCAGAAATGGGAAAGGGATACGAGGCCCAATGTTTGTGAAAAATGTCTAAACGAGAGGATCATCAAAATAATGAAACTAGGAATAAACGGTGGTGGTGTTTTTTTGGTATTGCCGGAAAGTTATGGAGACCAAAAGGAAACCTGGAAAAAAAAAGTAGGGAAAGAAAAAGGGGAGGGTGGAGATATATATTTTTTTTTTTTAATCTAAAATTAATAAACAGATAAAAGAAAAATAGAAAAAGAAATTGCTAAGGGCAAAATAGTCTTTTAATGTTGGGAGGGATGAAGCGTGCAATTTTTAAACAAACAAGGGACGGTCCGAGTTAATTTTTAAAAATAGGGACTGAACGTGCATTTTGGAACGTGCATTTTGGCACTTGCACGAGGGACGATTCGTGTAATTTACTCATTTTAATATTATAATGAAATAAAAATAACAATAATTACTTAATTAGTCAACGGAGATAGGCCAAATGGACAGCACAGTGTGCCCGTGAATAGCTTTGTGATGCAATATTGCCATGGCAGTTGGCAGGCAGGTCAAGGGTGGTATGGTGTGGTGGCCTGGTGGGGTATATTCCCACTGTGTTACTGTCTATGAATGGATCAGCATGATTATATGTATACCTACCTGTATTTGTCTATAAGGGTAATCACTACAATTTCATAATAGCTTTCATATTATATGATATCATGTTTTTTAGGAATTATTACAAAATAATCATTTATATAATAGAATAGTGATATTATAAGAAATTAATTTATTAATGATCTTCATGATATACACATTTGGTTTGTTATTTATTTCGCAAGATATAATTTTGGAATTATATAAATATTCTCAAAATTTGGATAATTCCATAAAATACCGATAATTTTGCAGATTTTGGATACTTTAGTAAACACTATAAGAAATATGTGGAGTCATTTGTTTACTTTCGATATTTCCTAGTCTTTTGCTTTACTCTCCGAAAAAGTTTCTATGGTGAGATGATGGACTCCAAAATATATAGACATTTAGAAGTGTGTCTAGCCGATATGAGACGCATTAACATTCTCATTCAATGAAGATAGACAAAAAGATATTAAAGGGTGTTTGGAATTTCATTTTGAAGTTAAAAATGATTTTTCTCCAAGAGGACTTATTGACTTATTAATATGAGAAAAGAATATTTTAAAAAAATGTTTGTATTAATTTTTTAGTGGCAAAAATCAATAAGTTAAAAAGTTTTTAGTTATCTTATTGACTTTTGCTTGTTTTTTATTTTAATAAGTCATAGGTCATTCCAACAAATCACAAATTGTAATTTCTTCAAAATTCTCTTCAAAGACTAAACTAAAAATTGTTTTAAAAGTCCATATTAGATATCAAAAAACTTTTTTTAACTTTTTGACTTTTCAAAGTGTTTTTAGATAATATCCCAAACACCCCCAAAACTATAGCGAAGCTAGAAGCCGACTCTCATTGATATCACGTAAGATACTAAGATATATGTTTAGTCTTTTTGTTTACTCCTAAGAATAGCTCTTACAAAGATAGACAATGAGAGATTAAGCCACATAAACGAGCTCTTATGGAAAGACATATAGACAAAAACTTATAGTCAAGAAATAAAATATTAGTTTTGATTTCATTGTTTCTGGTTGTTTCAGATTTATTCGCAAGTGAAATGATGAGTTTGATATCGTCTTCTTTATGGATATTTGATGTGTTTCAATGCATAAGGTACAAGTTAATATAAATAACATCACTTCGCATCAAGCATCGTCTCTTCGTTAGTATTCTCCTTTTGATTATAGAGATTAGACCATGATATATAATCATGTCACCTGGAACAAAATTTCCACACCATAATTCTTAATCCCCGAAAAAGGTTAAATATTTTTTAATTAAAAAAAAAAAAAAAAGACTAATCCCATGCACTAGGTGCACCAGCCCCACCATAACCACCACCATATCCACCACCACCATATCCACCACCACCACCACCATCATAGTAATCCATTCCCCCACCACCACCACCGCCAACCCCCCTATTGAACGAATTCTCCTTTCTAAAATCCCGGCCACCAAACCGCCCGCCGGACCGCCTACCCTTACCACCACCATAAGCCGCCCGGCTCGCATACCGAGTCAACCACTGTGGCACTTCTTGATTAGCTTCTTGCATAAGATCCGCTAGCGGTTTAGCTAACGACATATTATTCTCATTAAAAAAAGCCGTAGCCAATCCCGTCTTGCCAGCTCGCCCTGTCCTCCCTATCCGGTGTACATAGTCATCAATGTCATTAGGAAGGTCAAAATTAACCACGTGTGAAACATGTGGGATATCCAACCCACGTGCTGCCACGTCAGTTGCCACAAGAATTGGAGTCTTCCCACTCTTAAATGACCTCAATGCCAACTCCCTTTCCTATTAATAATAAAAAAAACAAAAATTAGAAAATTAACTTTTATTCATTTTTTTAACTTTAACTCTAATTTTTTTTTACCGGTTGTGTTCTGTCTCCATGAATTGTAGTAGCGGGAAACGAATTGCCACATAGCCAATATTCAAGTGAATCGGCTCCTTTTTTTGTCTCAACAAAAACTAGTGTAAGAGGTTGCTGAATAAAAAAAATATATTACATTACATTAAATAGATTGAAACGAAAAAAATTATAAAAAGTGTACACGTGTACCTTGCCAGATCCATTATCTATTTGTGCATGAAGAAGGTCCATAAGGTGGCTTCTTTTATCAGTTTCTTGAACAAATTCCACCCTTTGAACAATCAAATCAGTACTTGACCCAACACGCCCCACAGTTAGAAATATATAATTTGAAAGAAAATCAGACGCAAGTCTCTGTGTAAAAACATTATATAAATTAAAAAACTATATATTAAAAGTTAAAACGATTAAAATTAATAAAAAAATCAAAAAAACCTGGATTTCTCTAGGAAAAGTGGCACTGAAAAGCATTGTTTGTCTTCCACCAGGTGGAGGCATGTCTGTTTGTTCCACTATTTTTCTAATTTGAGGCTCAAATCCCATATCCAACATACGATCTGCTTCATCAAGAGCTAAATACCTTATCATTTGTAATGACACTTTTGCCCTTTCAAGTAAATCAACTAATCTTCCAGGTGTTGCCACAAGTATATCAACTCCTCTCTCAAGCTCTCTCAACTTCAAAATAGCCAATCAACTTAATACGTATATATACTAGAAAATATTACCAATTTACCATATTACCCCTAAGTTGTACTTACCTGTTGATTAATAGGTGCTCCACCATAAACAACCACCACCTTCACACCTGTCTGATAAGCAAACTTTCGAGCTTCCAAATGTATCTGAAAACACAATGATAATCAAACATAATAACATATAAAGATTAGAGACATTAATTATGCAAAGGGTATGAAATTGGTGAAAGTCAAAGAGTCAAACCTGACAAGAGAGTTCCCTAGTGGGAGAAAGAATAAGAGCAAGAGGAAAGACAGTTCTAAAACCATGTGGTCTTTGCACAGATTGACCCCTCATAATTCCACTAATTATAGGAAAGCAAAAAGCAGCTGTTTTTCCAGATCCTGTTTGAGCACAAGCCATAAGATCTCTTCCAGCAAGAGAAATGGGAATAGTGTAACGTTGAACAGGGGTAGGTTTGACATATTTGCACCTCCTAATGTTGAGATTTAAAGCTTCTCCTAAGTCTATTTCAGCAAAAGTGTTAACTGGAGGGGGGACATTAACACCACTTGTTTCAACAGGAATATCTTCATAAGCATCAAAGTTGATACCACTGCTTTCTTGATCTGATGCAATTTCTTCAGGGGAGTCTACATCATCATTACCAAATGGATTGGCTTCATATTCTCTACCACCCCAACTACCACCTCTGTTTCCCCAACCACCACGTCCACCACCACCACCACGGCCGCCAGTATTGTACCCTGGCCTACCATAGTCAGCCCTAGGAGCCACCCACCGTGAGCCGCTTGTTTGTCCGCTATATCCTGACCTATCATTGATCAGAAGTGGGCCATTGTTTGATGTAGGTGGGCCAGGCATTTGTTCAGGAGTGCGTGGTCTGTTACGAAGATGAGGGGGGACATACGCAGGTTTTTGGGGAGCATTTGAAGCTCCACCAACCCCATAACCATCAGAGCCAGAAGCTGCATTATCAACAGCATCAGCCCACGAGGTTCTCATGGTATATAGGAATAGAAATCCTCAACCCTAGGGTTTAATATCCCGAAAATCCAAAATCAGAAGCTAATTTTCTTAACCTAAACCGAGAGATACCAAAAAAATGTTGCTTGCAGGTTTATATTGACACCGATCGATCGAAAAGTTGCAATCGTTACCACACAGATCAATTCCTGAACACAATGAAACGAAGAATAAAATCAACATTGTGGCAGGATATCATCGTATCAGTTCCAATTAGCTATATGACATGCATTTGCAGAAAAAACTTCATACCATGCAAATCGCATAAATCAGCCAACAAAACTAAACGATATCATTGATGTTAGACTGGAAAAATGTTGCTAAATACTAAAATCCAATCCAAGGAGTTCTAGAATCCCGATGAAATCGAGTTTGTGTATATATCTACCTAGCTACAGACACGCTTTTCAAATACAGATAACTATAAGCCGCGTATAAAACGGTAACCGGATAATTTAGATAAGGATGGACGTAGTGCTCCTTGAAAGCAATGAGATCGAGCGTTTCACGAATTGATTGTTAGCTCGAAAGACAAATGGACGTAAAACAATATAGATACATATAAACATCAGAGATAGAGAATAAGAACACATACAGGAAAAGGAGAAGGACGAACCTGAGATGAAGGAATTGAAGAGGAAAATCTGTATCAATGGCGGAGGGAGATAATGCAGAATTGTAGGATAAATCAGAAACCCTAATAAAGGGGAAAAGGCCTATATTTCAGAGAAGAGAAAGAATGGGGACAATAAATCGAAAATATAGGATTATGAGATGCTGATGTGCGATTAGATTTTGAAACAAATAATTTTTAAACAAAATAAAAGATTGCAATGCCATGAGTTTCAAATAGTCGTCATCATCATCACTAATAAATCATAATTTAAAATTTGAAAATTATGTCTTACACATTTATAAAATAAAAATATTATATGAATGTCAAATTAAGTGGTGCAAACCATGAAAAGATAGCAATAATTATTCATTTTTAAAATGTTGATATTATTAAATACTAGATATCATCGTTGTCCTACTTTATCATTTGGGTCAACGGGTATGGTCACCGGAACAAAAGTGTTCGCTATATTACCTTGTTCACATAATTGTTAACGGGCATGGATACAGGAGAAAAAATAAATGAAAAAATAAAGAAGTGATGAACAAAAGAAAAAGAATGAATAATAAAGAGTTGTAGTAGCTGTGAAGAGGTCATCATGCTCCACGAAAGGGTCATTATGTTCCCTGCCACATAGTTTCGTGGAAAAGAGCTTCTCACATATATGAAAGACTTTCACATTATCATCGTAAGTCTCATCTACACTCATGTCACATAGTTTCATGGAAAAAAGCTTCTCACATATATGAAAGACTTTCACATTATCATCGTACATCTCATCTACACTGATAGTCTTAAAATTACTCTAAAAGGGTTAACTATATAAGTTTCATTTTATTTGACTCTTGTATATTTTTTATATTTATATTCGAAACCAATTATATAATATAAAAATTGTGAAATAATATCACAATATAATAACTAAGTGTTACATTGACATCGTTAAAGTCATTCATCTTACATGGCTTAGCCTCAAATATGTTTCATTAAGTTTCAAATTTCATGGTTGTAACTTTTTGATTTTTAACCAAAAAAATGTTATGGTTGATGTCATAAACAAATTATTTTTGATAATATAGACAATAATAAATTCAAGGTAATTACCAAACACTAATTATTATAAACAAAGTATTAAAAAAAACATTTTTTAGGTTTTTGATAAATGACCAATTAGTTTGGAATACCGTATTTCATAGTAGGTATGGTTATTTCGGAGTTGTAACACCCGTATCCTGAAATGAAACAGTGTTTGGCATAAAGAAGTCAAAGGCATAATTTTTGTTGGAAACCATATGTCACGACGTGACATACCAAATGTGTGAGCGCGTTTCCAGATGGATGTCACGACGTGACAAGAGTATGGTCATGACGTGACGATAGCTGCAGGCCAAACCCATGATCTTTTAGGGTTTCCCCCATATTTAAAACCCTTACCTGAGACTTAGGGCATCATTTCCAGCCTCCATCACCCTCTAGAACTTTGAAGCAAACCTTAATACCATATTTTTCATTTTTGAGCTCATCTTGGGGGTTTTGGTTGCTTTTTAAGGAAGAAGAAGGTTTTGGTAGTGTTGTAAGCATCTTGGCAAGCTTTGGGACTTCATTTGGGCACCTATGGACCTTTTTAAGTGTTCAAGATCCAAACTTTATTGTTCTAGGTTGCTAGATCTAAAATTTTATCCTTTTATCTTCAAGTTTAAGCAAGTTGAAGTGGTGGGATTCCACAAAGTTTGCAACTTTATGGATCCTTGAGGCCCCTTGAGTGTTATATGCTTTGGATCTGGAGCTTGGTGTAGTTTTGAATCCATACATGGGATTTCGGTTCCATTTTCACCGTTTTGGTTCATCTTGAGTTCAAAACATGTATTGGACATGCATATCTATAAAACACCGATCTTTAAAAGCTTTTTAGGGAAAGAAAACCCTCTAGGAAGTTAGGATGAATGGCTTAATGGATGTTAACATTACCATAAATGGTCCCGTTAAATGTAACGGACAGCATAAACGAGACGTTATCTCGTCAGGACTTTACCCAAGGCTCGGTCTTGGCCAAGGCAGTCTAACGTTGGGGCGGCAGTTCACTTCCCTCCACGAGGGACGAATATCCTCCGCAATCCTCCCATTCACTCACGACCAATCAGGGTTGTGACAGAAAGCTTAGGTGACGCCCAGAATTGACGTCACCAGGCAGTTAGCCATCGTGGGCGTGATCCTCCCAGTCAGAGGAGGCCATGTTTCACGCCGATCGGATGAGGTTCCCACGATCCGTTAGAGACAGTTATAAAAGGATCTCTTCCGCCTCAAGGAAGGGATCCATCTTCTCTCTCAAAAACTTTACCCTAAAATTGCCTCCCTCAGAAAACTAACTTGATCGTCGGAGCGACGTCCCGGGAGAACACCCGGACGTCCTTTAACGATTCTTCTTTGTGTTGTGTTATCAGGAAAACTCTTAAGGCAAATCCATCTTCCGGCACCCACACCCCTGTTGAACATGTCACAACATTTGGCGCCATCCGGACGTATCCCCATAGTGATACAGCCAATAAACGACTTTGGTTCTTTGCAAAAAAGGATTGCATTACACTAAAAATGAGTTTAGCTACTTATTAAGTAAAGGACAGCTAAAGAACTTTTTGGACAAAAGAAGGAAAGACCCAAAATCAGGAGCAACATCTTGAAAATACCTTGGATATAATAACATCTTTGTATCTAGATTGTAAGGTAGTAAAATTTATATATGGTGGATCTGACATATATGGTACTTCTTATTCTGCAAACCATGAAAAATACTAAGATGTCTAAATCCTAAAAGGAAGAGAAACCCAAGAAAACTCTACCTTAACAAACAATAAGGAAATTTTATTCGATGAAGATGATATGAAGAATATTTTGGATCCTCACCATGATGGATTGGTGATAACCCTTTACATAGCAACCACTCCGTGAAGAGAATCTTAAAAAATGAAGGAAGCTCATTCAACATCATCCTGCATGAAACTTTGAGCAAAATGAATATCCCGGAGAAATCATTGGTGTTGGTAATATACAGTGGTGAAACTATAAATGACATTGAAGAGGTTAAATTTCCAATTTACATGGAAGGGTTAAACTATATGCAACATGTTTTTGTATAATTGATTTTATATATTGCTATAACATCATCTTAGATAGACCATTGATCCATGAGATGAAAGCATTGTCATCCATATACCATTAATATGTCAAGATGTCAACCCCCATGGAGTGGTCAAGATCAGTAATGATGAACAAGAAGCAACATATTGTTATACCACCTCAATGAAGTCTTCAATAAAGCTCAACCAAGCATATAAATTAAAGAAAAAAGCACGACATATTTTGAAAGCAAGGGAGAAAGATGTCAAAATAGTATCCTTAGATCCCATCAACCCAAACGTCAAAGTGTTGATAGGAACCAACATGCATGAAGATGTCAAATAAGATCCTATAAAATTCCTAAAAAGCAAATTGTCCACTTTCGCATGGAAGCATGATGATATGACATGTATATCTAAAGTTGTGATTACCCATAATCTTAATGTTAATCCTACTTACATGCCTATACATTAAAAAAAATTGCACCTAAAAGTAATGTCATCATCTAAGAATAAAGTGGAGAGATCACTTAAAGTCAAAATGATTAAAGAGGTTAAATTTCCAAGATGGTTGGCCAATGTGGTAGTGGTGCAAAGAAAGAATGGAAAATAGAGAGTATGCATGTACTTCACAGTTCTAAATAAGGTGTGCCCAAAGATCCTTTCACTTTTTCCGTACATACACTATATGGTTGATGCTATTACGGGCAATGATATGTTACATTCATGGATGCTTCATTTGGATTCCAACTAATTCAGGTGGAACCCTCCAATCAAGAGGACACAACATTTTATGACTCAAACATGTATTTACTATTATATAAATATGCATTTTGGATTAAAAAATACAGGTGCCACATATCAAAGGGTAGTGAAACAAGATGTTTAAAGATAAATTATGGGACACCATGGAAGTCCAGATCAACAACATGATTGTAAAATCCTAGAAAATAGAATACCGCCTCCAATATCTAAAGGAAGCCTTCGATATATTGGACATACAAAACATGAATCTCAACTCCTCAAAATGCCATTTTGGGGTACAAACATGCAAGATCCTGGGATATATGGCCACCAAAAGATGCATAGATGCAAGACCAAAGTAAATAAAGGTAAACATAAATTTGAAGGCCCCAACGTCAACTAAGGATATCCAGATACTGACAGGCACAATCGCAACCTTAAACATATTTATCCCAAGATCTTTCAGTAATACGTAAGACATTTTACAACATCTAAAGAAAAACAAAAGATTTAAATGATCTGAGAAGCATAAACGAGCCTTTAAAGAATTGAAGGAATACTATCCTCCACCAATTGTTGGTAAAGCAAATAGATGCATAACTATAATTCATACACCTCACAATCTTTATGAACGATGTAGGCGTTGTACTTGTGAAAGACCAAGATGGTGACCGATATCCTATACTATGTAAGTAAACATATTATAGATGCTGAAACCATATACTCTTATACTGAAAAACTAATTCTATAATTAGTTATAGCCCCAACCAAATTAAGGCATTACTTTAAAACACATAACATTTGCATTAAATATAATTATCCAGTTAAGTGTGATTTAAGAAAGCCAATGTTAAACGTGTTTTAAGAAAGCCAAAGGTGTTGGGACGAATGTCCAAATGGGTTGATTATCTAAACACACATGGCTTAAATTATGGGTCAATATTACAATAGAATCACAAACATTAGCAAAATTTGTGGCTGATTCTAATGCTGATATCCAGTTGGAAGTATAAGTAGAAGTTCAACAACTTCACGATGATGAAACATTCAACAACCGGATGCTTTTCAATAGGGGTGTTCAAAACCGGATATCTGAACATTCAGATGATGTATTTTTGATATCTGAATCTGTATGGATATCCGAAAATTCGGATACGGATTGTCACATCCCCGAACTGGGACGACGGAAACGTCTGGCGGCGGATGAATTCATGTACAGTATCATAACAATTAAATATGAATGAAACATAGCAACCAAACATCATACATTGGAAATACACACTTACATAGTTTACATATTGAACTTGTTCATCAGTTACACAAAAGTAAGAAAGTAAAATTTCTTGAAGTTGCACCACTTGATCTCATAGGCGAGCTTATTACCTGCTACTGGATCCCTGAGAATACAAATCGTTTTGAAAAGCGTCAACTAAAAAGTGTTGGATTAGTGTCTAAGTCCATAACTATTTTGGTATTTACTTGACCCGATTGTGAGCATGGTCCTTTTGGGTTGCCTTCACACTGGTGACTAGACAGGATGACAGTTGAGGAGAGAGGTTGATTAGGGCATAAATATGATTTATTTATTATATTATATGATTAATATAATAATTTGGAATCATATTATTAATTAGTATTTAATTAGAAATTAATTAGGAATTAATTTCGGGATTAAAGGAATTAATTAAAAGTACAGGGGCTGTTTTGTAATTATTTGAAAGTTGAGACTTTGGGCTATTGGATCACTTTTATTAAGGCTTGAACGAAAATCCTAGAAGGATCTAGGAGTTTTCGTCCAAGGGCTTAAGGAAAGGAGTCCATGGACTTGCTTAGGCCCTAAGCTAAGGGATTAGGGTTTCCACCTTGAAACCCTAGCTAGCCTCAAGTATAAATAGCACCCTAAGGCACTAGAATTCGT